GAGAGAGAGAGAGAGAGAGAGAGAGAGAGAGAGAGAGAGAGAGAGAGAGAGAGACTGACCTCGGGATCCTCCCCATCTTCCTCGTCTTTCGCCTCATCATCTTCCTCCTCCTCCTTCCTCGTCCACGCCATCAAAGCGGGAGAGTGTGCGTGTGTCTACAACTGAAAACGGGGTCGCTGGACTCGTGGGAGAAAAATGAACTGCAGCGCCGCCTCTGGATGCTATTTCAGTCACATCCTCGTTAGGAAGTTATGTCGTGAAAGTGCCCTGAGATTCATTTTGCGGCCCACAAAGCGGGTGCTCTGAGCCCCTCACCACGAAAATGGAAAGAAGAAAGAGACAACAAAACGGCAGCCAGAGGAAACGGGACCACACCGGAAGACTCTGGGCCCAGTTGGGTATGCCTTCAGAGACTCACTCCGCCATTCGGGAGTGTCTTCAGAGACATGCTCCGCCCTTTACGTGTAATAGTAGAAAGAAAGGGAAAAGAGAGAGAAAAGAAGAGAACGGGGAAATGGAGAAAGGGCGAGAGAAAAGGAAGGGAGACGAGGAGGAAAAAAGGAAAAATAAAAAACAATAAAAAAGAAATGAACCTATGGCCATCAGGAGTCTTGATAAGTGTGAACTTACTGTGAAGCTCGGTAGCGGTACGCTATCCAGTGGAGAGGAGAGGACGGGGAGGAGGAGGAATAGGAGCATAGAATGGCGATGCAAGGCAAGTGGCAGGAGGAAAGAACAAAGAGAAAGGGAAAGGCATGAGAAGAAGACCATGAGGAGTGAGCGAAGAGAGGACAGGCAACATATGGGAAGAAAAGAGATGAGGAGAGGAGAGGAGGGGGGCAAAGAAGAGAAGCAAAAGGGGGAGCAAAGGAGATAGAAGAAGTGAGGTGACGAGAAGAGAATAAAGGAAGGAGGAGAAGCGACGACAGGAAATGCGTGAAGAGAATACATGACAGGACAACAATGAGCAAGCAGTTCTGTCTTCAATTGTCTCTTCAGAAGTGCGTATTGGTTTTCGTAAGTTTTACAGTTCATACTGTTACCCTGTCTCGCAGAGACCTCATCCTGTTCCATAGAGATCCATACTTTTTTTTCCCATTTTTTTTTGAAAAAAATATAATATACAGCTGTTTTCTCCTCATAAGGGGGACAGTTGTATTTTTTCCCCCTACCCTATTTTCTTCGCTCTTGCCTTCCTCTAGCTATCCGTATCTATATACCTTACCCGCGAGCAACATGTCACTGCCTATGGAAATCGAGAGGAAACTTAAAATTCACTGAGCACACGTAAGCTAGCCTAAAGTTATGGGTCTACGCCTATCTGCAATAACTTGCTGGTTTCTGGTTGCCTGTAGCCTCTCGTGTTGAGGCTGTATCATAGGTAGTATAGATTCGTAATTTTTTTTGGCTGAGGGCTAACCGAGAGACCTACCTGTAGGGAAAATTCTTGAGGAACATATCTGCAAATTCGGGAAAATATCGGCCCATACTCACTAACAGTACCTACAGCTACCTTGACTGTGAATAGCAGGCCCGGACTACCCCTAGGACAGACAGGCCCTAAGGGCCTATGCTGATAGACGGTCCTATAGCCTATAGCCGGGTAGGTAGAGGCCGAGAGGCCGGAAACTGATACGGTACGGGTCGGTCCAGTCAGTCCGGTCTAGGTCGTGTCTAGGCTAGTGTAGGTTATAGATAGGATGGGCACATCGGTTCGGGGCTTTTGGCAGTTGGTACCGTGTACATCGCTGCTGTACAACGACTGAACTGGAGGTGGTGACAGCTTCAGTGTTGGGGAAGACGGACAAAGCCGGACTTGCGGAGTGTCAGCCGTAGCTGGGACTGACACTGTACTCTGACAGCACGCGGGGCTGTTCAGAGGTCTGGGCTACGTGAGGTCTGCTGGAGGCGAGAGAAGTGGTGCCCTGCTGGACCCTCCCGGAGTAGGGTTACAGGGTGTGTGGTGCTGCAGCCATAGCTGCAGCTTCTTCCTCAGAGATCATCTTCTCAGGAGAGGTGGCGCTGCTGTAGACTTCCACCTGGGAAGTCATCCGGCACTTCATCATCACCAGACACTGTGGCGCTGGTCTTCTTCTTCATTCTCTGAGTGGCGCTTGGCCTTAGAGGCCTGTTTCAGGGTGGCACTTCCCTCTGGAGGCAGTATCTGGGTGGCGCTTGATGTTTCAGGGACTCAGAGGGGTGTTATTAGCGGTTGTTCAGGGTTGGGGAGTGAAGCGCTGCTCATTTCTGAGCAGCGCCCCATAGTTCTGGGGTTATTCTGACAATTCAAGAGTTTGAGTTTAATAAACAGTGTTGCTACTGGGTTTGAACTATCTTTTTTTCATTGCTCCTGGATACTCGGCTTTCCTTTGTGACTGGTTGTGAGGATTCTGTGGAGTGAAGTGCACTTTCAGTGTTCTCTGTCATATCGCATGGTGAAGTCTTCCACTGTGTTTCTCTCTCCCTGTGCGGTGTGATACTCCCATCCTCTCCCCTTCCTTTCTGTGTATGTATGGGCATACCTGGAAGTCTCTGTGTGCGAGTGTTGGTCTTCTGACAACAAGCAACCAGGTTCATAACATATCTATCTCCCTGCTCTGTGCAGGGGAGCAGCACCCAAGCTCCTAACACCCGACGCGAGCTGAAAAGAACTGATTACTTCCACAACCAGCCAGGAGGTCAAAGCCAACACTCTCCACTGGTAAACCCGAAGCATACCCCCAGGAGGCCAAAGCGATTTCCTTATTTCATTACCTTACTCCTTTTTCCATTTACTCCTTTCTCCATTACAAAAAAATCACAGACAAACACAGGACACTCTTGACACTAAGTCAATAGATGTTGACAAGCTTGCCTAGGCAAAAGTGTCGAACCTTGAAATCGGTTGACTTAACAACGGAAACAAGGCGAATTTGATCAAATCTGCCAAGGAAAAGGGGGCATACTACTATCTTACTAATTGCAAAACTTAGACCACGTGGTAACGATAACCTTACAAGCTTTATATTATATTCATTCTGCTTGTTGTGCTAGTGTAGTGACACTCTTTCTGGCTAGACTTTCAAGTCACTGGTTTTCGCACAAACTCAGGTTCAGGTTTCAAATATCGTTAAGAGTTCTAATAAAGCTCTCCTGCGAAAGACTGGGGGGTTCTTTTCTCTGTGGACGATCATCCAGAGAGTGCAGCTCATCCCAAGGTCAGTACACATTGTTGAATTCAGCCAGCTCGTGCATGCAGCCTCAGTCACGTTGAGCTCTTGCTGTTGATGTCAGGAGCTCTTCTCACTGTTCATGGTCTGTTGTTTGCCCTGGAGAGAATGGTAGTTGGCCAAGGAGAGTGATTCTCTTCCCAGGGAGTTTCCTATCTAGATTGTGTGTCAACTGCTGGAATAGGATTCAAGAACGGAAAAGCAGCTAAAGGAACTCACACTGCTTGAAAAACTGACTGAAGCAAATTACTCCACCTTGGAAACGAAAGACTCTCTCTCTCTCTCTCTCTCTCTCTCTCTCTCTCTCTCTCTCTCTCTCTCTCTCTCTCTCTCTCTCTCTC